CTCCAAGGAACAGCACCAGGGGATGCAGGGACAAGACAGGGCCCTTCCAGCAGAAAAGGGCTATTGCCTGACTCTGCACCCAGGGGCAGGCCCTCTGCAGCACCCTGGCTGAGAAGCCACAAGTAACATGGGCAGGCAAGGGCCAGCGCCTGCAGGGACACCAGGCGGGGAGCAGAAACGGTCTGTCCAGCCAAATGTTTCCATTCCCCATGTCCTCCCTGCCCCCTTCCAAAACAGCACCAAAGCAAGAGACAGCTGCAGCTTATAAGGAATGTGAGGGGCCCTGCCAGGGACTCTGGCAAGGGAAACCAGGCCTTATAAGGCCATGGAGGCAGAATCAAATTTTTATCAATGAGTGCAAGAGCATGGAGAGGCCCGGCGAGAGATAACAGCACGGAGAGCGGGACAGGGGGATGGGCTGGGCCAGTGGGGAGCCCCGCTGCAAAGGCCAGGGCCAGGACACCTGCCACCTGCTTCCCTCCCTCTCCAAATCACTGCTACCACCACACAAGGGAAGGAACCAGCCCTCAGAGACCACAGCATGAACTTGCTGGAGTCACAGCAAACAGGGCCCCCTCCTCAGCTTCCCAAGCTGCTGTTCAAGAAGGGCTGGGGATGATCAGGGCCCCCAGCACAGACCCACAGGTACAGCCCGTGCCCCTCAAGATGCCCGGGCATGCAGCTGAGCACAGGAATATTACCTTGGTCTCCCCACTGCTGTCCGACTCTGACACCTGGTAGGTGAGGTCTGTCTCTTCAAAGCCCGTGGCACTCATGCGCTGGTCAGTGGTCGGGTCCGAGCGCGGGGGCGAGTCCGGGGAGTTGAGGCACGTTTGGATCAACGCCTTCCCCGTCTCACTGGTGATCATGGGCTGCAGCTTCCGTGTGGCAAATGTGTACACATGGCCCGTCTCGCTGGCCACCAGCAGCAGGACTTGAGTACCGGTCAGTGTGGAGAGCTCATAGGCCTGCCAGCAGCATGGGAAGAACAGGGAGTCACATATAGCAGGGACACAGAGTGGAGGACAAGAGTCCCTGCATGTCCCTGCGCTCCCAGCATGGCCCTCCTTTTGCTCACACCAGCTCCAGCTCCCTACTACCCCAGAGGAGCTGTGGCCTCTGAAACCGAAAAGATTAGTTCCCTGCAGGTGGAAGTGCCCCGAGCTGTGTTCCCATCTCCTTTAGCATGCCCTTAGGTGATGTGCATGCCAAGAAGTCGCATGAAAAAAAACAAAGCGGTGCCCTCAGGAGAGTAGCCTGAGGACATGGGGACACTAGGCTGTCCCCATTCTGGAAGTGCAAGCTGCTTCTCCAGACACATCTGGATACCCTAGCCAGCCCAGGACCCAGTTTCCCCTCTCAGGCTCCACAGTCCTGAGCACAGCTGCACTCAAACACCCCTGCAGCGAGGCTACCATCGCCCAGGACTGACCTGTGGGCTAAGAAGAACACTCTTCATACACCATCATGGCACATTCAGCAGTCTTGCACAAGCTACCACAGACACAGGATGGCCTTATCCTGCACTCCGCTCAGCCAGGATGTGTCCAGCGGTACCCCACAACCGTTCCCACCTCCCCAGGGTGTGTGAAGCCCAGCTCGGCTGAGATGCAGCCCTGCCCGGTCAGTCAGAGGATGCTATGAGCACCAACGGGGGAGGCAGATGAGCCAGCAGCATCCAAGCGCACACAAAATCCCCCAAGTTTCTAATCCGTCTTTGCACAACGGCTCCAGACACCACGGAGAGCACTCGGGACCGACCGACCGGGACATGGAGCCGGCCCCTTCCGCGGCTCAAAGGAGCTAGCCCTGCCGGGCCCTCGGCGAGGCAGGACAGCCCAGGCGTGCCACCCAAAAGCGGCTCACAGCGAGGGGCCCCGAGGGCTCCGGCCA